TTAGATAGTTATTTGCCCATAAACCTTCTTCTATTTGAGATTTTTCTATCTCTTTTCTTTTTTCTCTTGTTTGATTCACATTTTTATATTCTTCCTCTTTTTTCTCTCTACTCTTATTATATAACTTTCCTATTATATTGTTCATCTTTATTTTTGTTTGTCTCATATTTTCATCTTTTCTTTTCTTTGCGTTGTAACTTTCTTGCTGTTCTATCTTTTGGCTTTTGTTCTTGGTCTCTTTTGGGATGAGTTTAAGCCATTCTCACTCTTTTCTCTTAATTCTGTTTATCGCTGCATCTCTACTATGCTCACAATCAAAATCTACTTCTATCTAATTGTTTCTATTTTTAAAAACTTCATTGATTGTTTTAATGTGGTGATTTGTTCCCAAGATCTACTAAACATACTTTACTCTTTCTTCTTTGGTCTTCCCAGACAATGTGTATGTAGGCATATTTGGTTTAAATGACTTGTTTCTATCACATATTCTGTTTTCTGGAGACTATCAGCTATGCTCAATTGTTTCTGTAGAAAAAACTGCTTCTACTTCTTCACTGTTTAATTTGTCTTCCCATTCTATTGCTTCTATATTCATGACTTCTATGTTTTCTATACTCTCATATCTGTCTTCTTTTTGCTTCCTTCTTTTTTCCAATTTCACTTCATTATTCTCTGTTAAGACTCCTTCTTCATATTTGATATTATTGAAAGCTTGACTTGTTTGGTATTGTGATATGGTGATGCTTAGTTCTTTCATCTGTTCTTCCAATATTTCTACCTCTTGTTCTACATCTTTGTGATTATTTTTTTTTTCTTGTCATTGTTTCTATTAATTATATCTTTTGTTTTGTTAGCTTCAACTGAAATTCTTACCTTATCAGTACTTTTTTCTCCTTGATATAGTTTTTCTTTACTTATACTTGTGTCATATTCAAATGCATCTGGGTTGTAGCTTATGGCCCTAAGCTTTTTTGTCCACTTGTCGATTACTCCTTCTTTAAGCCAACTTACTTTCGCTAATCTTAAGGCTTCCAATACCTGACCATATATTAGCAAGTCATGTGGTATAATATGTTTCAGGTCATAGATTGCTAGGTCTTTTGCAATGCACTCTATATTGCTTGGTCCTTTTGTTGGTGTCCTAAGAACTTGGTCCAAGAGTTTGCAATCTACATATCTATGATTTCTATCTCCTATTCCTCTGATGTAATCTATAACATTTATGTTATATACTTCAACCATTGGCCTATATTTCCTACTATAGTTTAGATTCTCCTTTTGTATACTCTGTATATATTTTGCTATACTATTTGGTGCATGTGTTCCCCTATTTGCTTTGTTTGTTTTGTTTCATATTTGTGTAACCTAAGTGATCTGCATGACAAAGTTACAGCTATTCCCCAAAATTTTTCTAAAAACTGAACTTTTTGTTGAAACTTCTGCTTTTTGTTTCTATACTATATTGTCAAAAAACTCTAGTTTCTCTTTTTGTCTTTGGCTATATGTGGCTTTTGCTGCTCTATCTTTTTTGTTATAAGTCAAGGTGTTGTTTTTTAGTGTGTTTCTGTGTTGGTTCTTATTTTGCTTCTTGACAATTTTGGTCGAAAGATCTGCAGAAGAGAGTTGAATAAATAATGTCAGGGTTATTGATTCTAGTTTTTATATTCACTTATTTACTTATATCTATCAATAACTAATTGATACTAATAAGTTCTTAAGGCAGTTTATTTATATAAAGAACTTTTGATATTATACTAAATTTTTCAGAATCTTTTATATCTCATTTTTATAATTGACCTAGTTATATTATAATTGAACCTAATACTTGCAATCAGAATATATTATTAATCTACTATGTTTTTGTAAAGTTCATCTTAATACTAATACTTACTTTATAATATATTTCTATTACTTTTGATATTTAATTTAAATTTTATCAAATTCTTAGTCCAAAAAAGTAAATACAATTATACTTCTAATTTACATATTCTTTAATATATAATTTTTTTTTTATTCTTCTTAAAGTTATGATAATCTGATTGATTACAATGATCTTTTTTCAAAGATCAACATATTACCTAGTTTTACAAACTTTAGTTTTGTTTTTTAGATTCAGTTTTTATAATAATATTGTTAAAAGTTTAGTTTATTTTTTTATTTAGGTTTTTCAAATGGGTTTTAGTCTTTTTGATTCTTATAATTTATATAATTACAAGAATTTATTATAAATTTATATTATTTAATATTAGTTTGTATTTTTTTATACAAAGTACAACTATTATACAAATATTATATAATTTTCTAGTTATACTAATATAATATAAATAACAGATATCTGATATTATCAATAGCAAAAGACAGTTATTTATAATATAACAAAGAAATTAAAATTTTTATTAATACTAAGATTTAAATTAGAAGTACCAAAAAATTAATTGCAACTCATTAATATGCAATTATAATTAATTGTAATTGTTATTATATTTAATTAATAATTAAAATAATTGCAAATAATTGCAAATAATTGCAATTATTTGCAAATTTTGATTATATTATAAATTTGTAATGATATGAAGTTTTATATAAACTTTACAACAATGTTATAGTAAAAAAACACCATTAACAGTAAAAAAATACTACTAATAAAAAAATATGATTACAATAAAATTATTATTAACTTCAACTATATACATATATTGAAATTTATTTTTTAACTTGGTGTACATCTTTGATCAATTATATTTTATTATTCATTCTTATTAACAGAATATTTTCCAAAATATGCAGTTCAAGTAATTTTTTTAGTCTGTATAATAGTATTTTACAAGTAAAAATAAATATTCTACAGCATTGGATATAAAAGAAATAATATTCATATTTATATACAGTTAGACCTCTATAAGTGCACTCTCCATAAGTGCACACTCTCTTTAAGTGCACAATTTGACAAGGTTCCAAGCTCAGGACTTAGTGCTAAGTGCACCCTCTACCCTCTACACGTGCATAAGTTTTTGAGTGCTGATACTTATATATGCACCTCTATAAATGCATGCATATGATTAATATGTAAACTGACCAATAATAGTGCAAAATTCATATACTAAATCCTTGATACTGTACAGTATGTTGAACTAATTTTTTTATATTGCTTGTTGAGTAAAGTAATGATGGTGCAAAAATTTGGCTATTCAACAGTAATAATAACCTAATTTCGTCTAAATTTTTGTGCTAAAAATTTTTTAATAACAAAAAACTAATCATCTTTGTAGATTTATGGTTTTTTTATGATTTTTGGGAGGTTTTTTTTTTTTGCCTTTATTTTATTTTATTTTTACTTCTCATTTTGTATGTTACACACTGATCTTATAAATAAAAATCACAGAACCACAAATTTTTGCACCATCACTCGCTTGTTAGTTGCTTTAAGCAAGTTACATAAGTTAAATCTAGTTTTGTAAAATATAGATGTGTTCACTTAAATCTTTTAAACTTTAATACTTTAACTTTTTTTTTAAAAAAAGCATTTAGAATAAATCTAAAGCTTAATACTGTATGTTAGAATCTTATGACTGATTGTATTAATAAAAAAATTTTTTATTAAACTAATTAGTTATAAGATCTTTAAAAACAACACATGTTTTGCTCTCTAAATACCTTAAGGTAAAAAGTAATTATATAATTAATTATTTTTAATATTTAACAAATTTAATGATTTTTTTTTCTTTTTATATCTAGTTTAAATGTTTAGGACAAATCCTAATTCTTTTAACAAAATATTTAGATAATTGAAATTAATTAACTATAATAAATAGCCTCACAAAAATTATCAAAAATAAACTATTTAGACTGTCTATTTTAAAAATAGTCATTAATTTTACTTTGTTTCATTTGACATATTTTTTTTTATTTAATAAATTTTTCAACTTTTTTGATGGTTTTAATATATTCATCTGCAGTATCCTGCTGGAGTAGAAACATGCATACAATTTCTAAGCTTTCAATTACTATGTCAGCACTAATAATAGGAATTTTAATGCTATCCTCTTCAACTTCTAAATCGTCATCAGTTAGATCAACTGGTCTGAATGTGTCTATAAGTTCTTCAATAATCTGATCATTATTAGGAACTTTGTAAACAATATCTTCTTTAGAAATAGACAAAAATTCATCAACTGGCATTGAATAGGTAAAATGAGTATGAAGAGCTTCAAGTGCATTAGTAAGATTATCAAGTGCCAAGTCTATAGTTTGAGAAATGTTATTTTGCAAATCAGTGTTGATTTCTGAAGGAAGAATTTTTGTGTAGTGCTAGCAATTACAGATTGTGTTAGCAGTAACCTCATCCTAGGCTTGAATGACAAAACGTATAGCTTGCAATATGTTTATTTTTAGTTCATCTGTAGGTTGTTCACTTTCTACACATTCCAACATCTAGCTTAAAAAAAGAAAAAAATTTAAGAAAAAAAAAAAAAAAAAAATTCTAAACTAAAATTATACTGAACATGAAGGCAATAATAATGTCTCTTAAAGTTCATAATGATTTCAGCATCCAAAAGTTGGATTTTTGAAGTCACATTTGAAGGCAAAAAAAAAATATTAGTAAATCATAAGGTAAGGCCATTTGTGTTATGACTAGTACAATTGTCAAGAATAAGTAGCACATGTTGCCCATGATACTTTAAACCAACTTGACAATCAAACTCTTTAATCCAATCTTGAAACAAGGAAGTAATCATCTAGGCTTTAGTACTATTTCGATATTTAACAGCTAAATTATTAATATTAATGTTTTTAAAGCAACGTGGTTTTGCATATTTGCTAATTACAAAAGAAGCCAATTTGTGTGAACCATCAGAATTAGTACATAATGCAATTGAGACACGTTCCTTATTCATTTTATGTCCAGAAAGATGTTTAGTTGCCAATGTATAGTCAGGTTTTAGCCTATAAGGTAATTTTTAACAATACTGTAATTAGTAAAATATACTTCAAAAATCATTACAACATCTTTCTTAAGTAACCTTATAGATAAAGATCACGATAATTATTTATGAAAAAATATATATTTTATATAAATAATTATTATAATCTTTATTCATAAGGTTACTTAAGAAAGATTTTGTAATGATTTTTGAAACATCATAACTTATATATTAATAAAAATTATACTGTACTAATAAAAAAGCTCTGTTTCATCTATATTATAAATTTTTTCAGCAGGGTAGTTTAAGCATTTTTTTTTAGTAATGGTATAGTGTTGTTAATAGCTGTTATATCAGCAGATTTAGCTTCTCCTTCAAGATGATGTTGACGAATTCCATTTTAATCCTTAAATTTATCAAGCCAGCTATTGGAAAACTACAATGCTTCTAGAGGAATTTCCAAGCCATTAGCAAGTAATTTGGCTTTTTCGATAAGTATAGTATCACTAAGGATTGTTCGGCACTGGTAGATAAGTACAAACTCTTTTAGAGTGAGGTCAAGTTTTAAGTAGGTTATAGGTTTATGAAATTTTGCATTAGGATTAGCAATTTCAGCATTAAGTCATTCATCTGCTGTTTTCAAAATATGTGAAATCATACTTTCATCAATTTTAACACCCTATTTTTTCTCAATCTAATTAACATATTAGGATCGAGTTACTTTATTAGTACACACATATTCACAAAGTTCATGTTTTTGCGAATCAGTAAGAGTAGTTCTTTTGGGCATTTTACAAGACAAGATGGTAATTTGGGAATTATTTTTTTTATTTAGGTAAGATAGTTTTTTTATATATATTAAATAATACATAATTCTAATTTAAATTTGTTCAATTTGTTCAATTTGTTCATATTTTCTTATTTTATATATATTATCTCAATTCAATATAAACATACTGAGTTTTCTTTGCTATTAATAAAGAAAATAAATATCAGTTGATAAGGCTAAACCTTTTTTAATAATTTCATATGCCTATATATTATATAACTTAATCTTTAATTTCTGATATAGGTACCACCAAGGAAAAACCTAACTCTGGGCTTTTAAATTTAAAATTTATTGGACTTGATTTCTAAAACATATATTTGATATACTGAGTCTATTAAGTTATAAAGTTAAAAACCCAAAGTCTGGTTTTTCCTTGGTGACATCTATATATATATTCGGTAAGTAATAGATACAAGCACTTGTTTTATTATACTTTTACAACACTTGTGAAATTTCTAATAAAACCACTAAACTAAAAAGAGCTTTATAGCCTTTTCCTTATAAGTATCAGTTTTGTTTTTATTAATTTTATCATGCAGTATCTTTTTATTAATTTTATTATGCAAAGATTTTATTATCACAGTTTGCAAAATAATTTATTGTAATTCTAATTTTTATTCAATTTGCACGATTTTAAAATAGTTTCTTATTTAAATGTTTAATATAGATATCATATAATAATAATTCACTTTATTTTTATATTTACTTAAAAGCAATAAGTTTATTATGCAGACATTTTATAAATTTTATCATTACAGCATCATCTAAATAATTATAAAAATATGCATTCATTTTTAAGGTTCTGAGAATGTAAATTTTTTCTTATCTAAATATACTGAGCTTGATGTTAGTGTTATAATCAGTTGGAAGAGTGATATGCATACATGTGCAGTTTAGCTCCAATCACAACTTTGGGACGAGTTTATTTAGCAACAGGTTCTTGATTAATTCATGTTTATTATACTAAAGCATCAAAGACCTTATTTAAGAAATCAATCCTTATTTTATATTAAGATATTGAAGTTTGAGAAACTTTTATTAAAAGTCAAAAGAAACTCTTTAAATACATTATTCATTTACTAATAGTTACTGTGCTTCCCATCCTTACTAAACAATGTTGTCTTTCAATTCTGTGCCAAGCTTGTAAACAACCTAGGTGAAAACAACATTGTGCATGTTCATATACAATTATCATGATACAACCATTTGTGCATAATCCAACAATTATTCTTATAATAACTAGTTTAACCTCAACTTAGTGAATAATGGGCCTATGATAACAGCAACAATAACCAGTTTCCCACTCTTTATAGATATATTAATTGTCCTCAACAATTATACCTCAATAATAACAAACAAATAATGAACATAAATAAAAGAAAATAAAAAAATCGTAACTATCTAAGCCCCAAGAAATGTGTTACAAGAAAAACTGTGACATTAATTTAAACTTTTTTTATTTTTCTGAGATAAAATAAACACTACATTAAGATAAAAAGTAAATTTATTTATATTCACAGATAGCATATTGTCAGAAAATTTATTTGATGAATTGGTAATTATTCATTCACAAGTACGATAAACTATTTTTTTTTTTTTTTTTATTGTTAAGGTGAGGTTATGCCCTCAAGTCTTTATTAGTATATTGGTTATAGCTAGTACA